AATGGACGCGATCATTTAGGTAAAGTAAATAATTTACCTAAATGATCCCATTAATTCGCATTTTTTATAAAACAAAATTATACAGCCCAATAGTAGAAGTTAATGTTTAAGTTTTCAATTGTCGGAATCTAATAATTTATTTTTATAAATGCATAGATGAAGAAAAGCTCTTACCCCTTTCTAGGTGTAATTAATAGAATAATTAAGAATTCTCTTTCAATATGTAAATGAATGAATTTAAAATACATAAACCTATATGTTCTGTCCTAATAAATAAAATTATAATTTCATAGAAAAAAAAAAACGATTCTATATTTAAATTTCCAAATTAATACACATAGATTAAAAATAGTACCTACCTCTTACTACGTACAATTAAAACACAGATAAAGAATAATGACTTTCTCTTTCAACATATCTATAAATACATAGATTAAGTATAATATCTGCCATCGCAGATGCAAAATACATATCCTTCTAACATCTACATTCTGTTGGCGGGCTTTTGAGCTCAAGGATCGGTTCACACAGATTCAAAGCATAGTAGGTATATTTGCAAATTGGAACATTGTTTACGAGGGCAATTATTTAAATTGTTACTATAGATGTTGTGCGATTAGTAAGATATTGTTACTCAAATGATGAGCCACATTTCGTCACTCGTTACCATAGAGTTTGTCAATGTCATCTCTCACTATTGTGATTGCAATACTTTATATCATTTTATTATATTTATCGTCTTAATAATTTCATTCGTTAATTGTCTATGGATGCAGAGTATGTTTTAAGAAAAGTGTTAAGTGTGAATATAGATGGCTCTTATATTATATACATAGAGTGTCTCCATACAAATGCTTCGAGAAAAGCAGGTGGTCAACTTTTTCATACAATTTTACTTTATAAACAGTTATTAGTAATTCCTTAATAACTTTTATATTTATTTTGTCTTTTAATTTCTGCATCTTTTTCATGCGTAAATACTCATTTGATTTATTAATAAGTACGTCAAGATACATTGTATGCATAGAAACGAGTTAGTTAATTGTCAAATTAGCTGACTAACTACTATGTATTTTATATTTTTAAAAATTTTTTTCAGCAAGAAAACTTAACTCTAAATTTTCCATGATTGCATGATTTCCCTACATTAATCATTGAAGAAACATAGCATATTTTAGGGTAATAAATAGTTTATTTTAATCCAAACCTTCTCAAAGAGGATTGACGTCAGGCAGGCGGCCGGTCGTAATACTATAAGTCAAATCTTTTTGTATTATGGATATAAAAAAAAACATATTACGCCGACCCCAAATAATAATTGGGGTAAGGGTAGGAAAATAATGAAATAGATTATTTTAATAGTATGAAAGAGGTTCTCACCTGTGTTATCAATACACGATCGCCGAGTATCAGTGATAAGGTGATAGGTGAGGATGAAGTCAGAAGATAGAGTCATCGTAATGAATTCATAAGAAATTAACTAAGTACAATAGTTTCCAGGATAAGTCATATGGACGTCGAACTAACAGGATATATCGCTAACAATGGTATCGTTAGACAATATTATTTACAATCCCTCTCTCCTCGATATATGAATTAAATTCAGTGTATATATCAGTATATGACAATAAAAACTCAGTATACTCTGTTATGTCCATACTACTGTTCATGTCTATAGGCGACGGTTACCACTCCGTCAGGTGGGCCGTCAGCTCGTTTGCCATTCTAAGTCGTATAAAAAAAAATTAAATAGTTTACATCGAGATCGATTTTGCTAACAATAAATAATAGACAAATGGACTAAAATTGTAATTAGACATATGAAGTATTTAAGAAGAATGGCTATGAGGGGTTTTTTTTCAAGAGCGATAGAAACCAAAAAGCCAACGCAAAAAGGGCCCTTATGGGAAAGGCTTATGTTCAGCAGTGAGGACTAATATAATGATGATGATGACGAACAAAAAACAAAATACATATTTTACAATTGTTTTGTCTGTCTGTGTGTTTTTGCAGCATCTCAAAAAAACTACTGCAACAAATTGAATACAGTTTTCACAGTTGTATTTCTAAAGGTTTAGCTTAAAAACTGGAGTATGTTTTTTCTTAATATGGTATCTAGGAAATATAACCTGTATTCAAAATTCACACGCACAAAATTACGTACTTTGACTAGCTGTCAAAACTTTATATCAACTAAAAACCTGAACTGTGTGAGTATGTTGTATATTGCCACGTTTGGCAAGCGGATTGGCAAGCGCTGTTTGGCTTTTGGTGATATTTTAAAAAGGACGCTGCTACCCATCCTTCCACCATAAACTCCCTTAATCCCTCTTACGACACCCATGGGAAAGAAAGAAGTGGCCTATTCTATGCCAAGACCTACACGGCTATGTGTGTAAATATATCTAGAAGCGTTTATAGCATAGACATAAGTTTTTTTTTAAATATCAATGACTTATGCGCATGAGTCACATGCATGTATAGAATATTAATCAAAATAGTATAATACATACAGACTTTATCTTATATAATTTTTAACATTACATTTGGTTAAGGTGAACGCCCGTGGCAGATTTTTTTTTAACAATTTCATTTCACGTTTCAAATTTTTATATACGAATAAAATTAATAGAGAGATGTTATCTATTGTTTAAAGAATATAGTGTATAAATTACTCAATCATTTTCAATTTATTATACACCTGTCAAAAATAAAAAATAATTCATAATATTTATTATATTTTTTTTTAAACCGTGTAATCCTGGCATAGAATAGGCCAGCTATTTGTCTCTCATAGATATTGAAATATATAGAGGAGAGTAAGGGAGCTTATTGGTCGAGGGATGGGCAACAGTGTTTTTTTTTTTAAAACATTACCAAAGCTTAACTGCGGTTGCTAAGCGTGGCAACTACTGGCGAAATTCCCCTTATGGGTGAGGCTTATGTCCAACAGTGAACAGTTAACGACTAATATTATGATGATGATGATTTATATTTTAGGATTCCGCATGAAAGTAAGTAAAATTATGTAATTTTATCTGTTCATTTGTCAGAATACTAAAATAATTTTTATATATTATTTTCATAGAAAAAAAAAAACAGAAAACAAACGGGGTGGCAGTAAATAAAGAAAAGTAGATACAAATAGTGTAAATAAAAAATATTTAAAAATTATCCTATCAGGTCGACCTCCACGCGGTTCATGGAAACCATCGTGATTAATTCTTGAATTATTAATTACAATGTGCTGGTACGGGTTAGAATGGGTGTCCCACCAGCGTAAACTGATAGTGTAGACGGGGTTGCCATTCTTTTATCAACCATTAAAAAAACTAGCACAGTATTTGGGGTAACATCAAACATCTTTCACAAACAGTTATGCGGCCCGATTTTTAAGTGACTTGCATATTTGCGTATTTTTTTTTCTGTTACGCGATTATGTCACCATTTCAGAGCCGATTACGGTAATTCTTTTTGCAATCGATCGTTTGCACCCTGTTTGTTGATAACATACTAATTTTGTCACTGCATTTATTTTATTTGCGAAATCTAATTTTACTTTATAATTTTCCTTTTCCAAGAAAAAAAAAAACAGAAATTTCATCGAATTGAAAGTAAATTTTGTACAATTTTATTTGCCATTTTTGAAAAAAAAAAACACAAACGAATTAATATGAATGATCACGACTTTACACATATTTATTACATATTAGTATATTTACATACCTACATACTTTTTTTTTAAAATTATGTCAACATTGTTAAATAAGACACTTTTAAATAAAGATTAATCACTTTAACCGGTCATTATTGACTATTGTTTTAAAAGTAAAAAAATAAGCTCCACTAAGAAGATTATCGGGGACCGGTTATGAGTTGCGTTTAGTTTAATTGACGGATTGACAGATATGACTGATAACGCCATGTTGGCGTCCGTCTGTATGTTTGTTAATTAGTAAATATTTTACTATAACGGTAAATGTGTTATGATATCCATTATTAATGTTGTGCTCGTATTTGTAACTGTAACGCCTATAACTTTTGTATTTTTTTTGTTTTTATTAGTTATATTTTTTTGTCTCCACAAATTCACAATTTCTATCAGACATTCAAGGGTTGATTGGAAGAAATCCTTTTTTTTAGAATAAGTCTGCCATTACACTCTTTTTTTTTAAGAACTCTGTATTCTATAATTTAAGAGTTTACTGCACTATAAAGTGTTACAAACAAACAAACGGTTACATTTTACAGCTATTATATTATTAATTATATTATAAAAATGGCAGATCTATTGGGAAGGTAAATAAATAAATAAATCTCATTAGTATTATAAATGTGAAAATTTGTTTAACTTTTAGCGTTTTAACGGCTCTTAAAGATAACCATAACCATTACGTCACGACTTAATGCAGTATTAAAAAAAAATACTGACCTTCTGACACGTTATTTTATAAAAAAAATGAATACAGATAAAGTTGCATTTAAAGCTAGTATAAGTATAATAAAAGTATGAATATAAAGAATTACATAATAGAAAAACAATTTACTATATTCCATTCATAACTCTATGAGTCTACTTAAGCCTTTGCATGATTTTTTTATTTATTGGTGAAATAAATCAAGGTGATATAATTAGGTTTTGTTAGTAGTTGCCACGCTTGGCAGGCGGGTTGGCAAGTTCAGTTAGGCTTTAGTGACGACTAAAGAATTATCGATATTAACTATATATTATTGAAAAAATATCAATGGATAATGGCTATGGCAGAATAGTTGAGGTGGGTTAAAGTGTTGGTGAACGGTGGTTGGCACTTCTGAGACAAAGTCAGTTTTATCTTGTTTTAACAAAAATAATTTATAATTATAGTATTATTGTATAACTAAAATAAGGAACAAACTAGTGCCTTATTTTAGTATAACTAACTAGTTTATTCTGATTGTCATCCGAATTTTTTAAGTCCTAAATTGCAACCTGATAAAAAAAACAAAAAAAAAACACTCACCATCATCGATCAGCCCGGCTGCTTCGTCCCTGGCGTTCTGCTCCAAAGACTTAAGTATCTCCTCGGGGATAGGAGGCGGTGTGGGAAGATGATCACCTCTCGGCTGGTATCCTCCTTCATCAGCGGTATACGTCACGCTGTACACTTGTCCGTCATCACCAGTATAGGAGTACCCTCCATGGGCTTGCACACCATTAGTAGCCACGCCACTTTCTTCAGCCGAAATACCATTGTCAGTTTCGAAGGCATAATTGTAGGCATCCGTTCCGATGTCACTCTCGTACCTCAGGATGCTGGCTGTACGATCACGTGCAGCTTGGGACCTCTCTGGTTTACTCTCAAACCCTTGAGACCCTCGAAGTCCTTGGTCGAAGCCTTGAGGAGACACATTCGTGTCGGCAGTCTGGCCATCAGCGGAGAATCCAGATTGATCAAATTGGCGGAATCCCACTGGAGAACTGAACGCAGCTTCTCCTACTTTAGAGTTTGTCGAGCCGTATGCTATTCTGGGTGCACCAAGGCCTGTTTCACCTTCTCCTGATGCCCTGGTGCCGGGGCTCACAGCGTCAACAACTACGCCTTGGAAGTCGTTAGTGAAGCTCCCTTTAGGTAGGCCACCCAGGCCTTGATTGAAGGAATTCTCCAAGGGCGTCTGCAGGGTATCATGGCTACCGCCTGCGGTTTTTGCTGAAGCTGGTGGAAGATAGGTGCGGTCAAGTTTGTCAGCGCTACACACCGCTATAAGAGCGGTTATTAAAACCTGAGAAGAAGAAATTAAAAAATTTATTACATTTATCCATTATCATTATATCATTATAAAATAACACGTTATTTTCCACTGAAGTTATTTATTATATAATATGAAATACTTTGTTTTTACTGAAATTCTGAATATTTAACAGTATTTCTCTGAAACAAACTGAAGAATTTTTTTTTAAATTCTGGGTGAGAGGTGATTTAAATTGTTAACTTTTAATACAAATTTATAATTAACTGACATCTATTTCTTTAGACAGACAGTAAGCTTACAAAACTTAGTAATTTATAACATTAGCATGGAATAGTGTCCTTTAATAACAATACAGTTATATGAAACAATAAAATAAATTAACTAAAAGACTAGACATAACAAATGTTATAAGTATGTTAAAAATTATATCCAAATGTTGAAATTAAGGAGAGAAATTAGTATTTCCTCAATGAAACTACAAACGATTTGTCATTATCACAGACTAAATTTCTAGGTAGGTTGACAACACGTTCAGAAATGGCACACATTTTATGTAACCATTGTGCAAGTACCCTCCCGTGGAACACTTGAGCACTCATTAATCAAATCACTTCCATGAAAAGGCTATTACCAAATTCATATTGTATATTCCAAGTCGAACCCCGATACTGGGATGCTCCCACAGTGATGGGTCAACGGTTACTGTGTGCTTTTGTGGATCGACCCCAGCTTTTTATACCACTTATAAGACGTCTAAAAACGTGCTTGTCGTACTAGACAACGATATGTGGTGTATTTTTTTAAATTTATTCACATCCTCTATTCTTTATACGAATAAAGTTGAGATTCCTTTAGCGAAAGGTCAAATTGAATGTAATAGTTAAAGCAGTAGCGATCACGTATCCATGATGTAGTGGCAGCGCGATTCATAAGTTTAATTTGAGATGAATACTTCATTTTTATAATATATACAATATGTAATTCGTGATCTGATATATTAATAGGGCACGAGATTTATACATTTTGATTGATAATAAAGTTAAATTTGATGAGGACGCTAATGAGTTATTAAAAATTATCTAACATTTTTAATTTATCGATGATACTTCCTTCCTTCCATATGTAACGCGTTTTTAATTTGGAAACTAATGTATTAAGTTGTGATGTTTTAATTTTTTTTTAACTTAACTCGTTAATTAAATATAGATAATATTTCATAGTTTTATTATAAAATGAATAATTATGAACAATTGGGTACACTTGTGCTATTAAATTACTAAAAACGTAATTTTTTATTAATTCCTTAATAATGATATAACTCATTTCTTATGTAAATAGAAAGATAGATACTTTTTATTCTTCTTTTTAAAAAAATACTGTAGTAAACTTATCATAAATATAAAAAAAAATCACAGTGAAAAATTAATAGCTAGCCTTATGGATAAAAGCGATCTCTGCCACGCAACCTAAATAATAAAAAATGAAAAAAAAAATATCCCTGAACGTACATGTAAAACTAAATAAATGATTCCAATAAACAATAACTTAACTGAACAAGTTAATTCAATTTTTTTATTTTTTATATTCAAAGTAGTAATTTAAAGAGAAGAGAAAATATCCCAAATTCCAAATACGATGGTAAATTGTGGAACCTAATATATGAAGAGCTAGCGACAGATATTACCAGAGGGAGACTTTGTACAAAAGTCGATTGCTTGGGTACCTCTGTCCCATTCGTGTTCCAACCGTAAAGCAGTTGTGTTTGCATGGCTGCGTTTCAGTTTGAAAGGTGAGATATGGCGTGAATTTACTGAGTACAGAGGAATAACACCTGAGTCCTCAGGAATGGCACTGCATAGGGGGTATCATGGGCGAAACAGTATACTCTGTTATGTCTATGGTACTGCTCATGTCTATAGGCGATGGTTACCACTTTCCATCAGGTGGGCCGTCAGCTTGTTTGCCATTCTAAGTTGTATAAAAAAAAGATATTATAATGTATGATTTTATAGCGCTTCTCAAAGGGTGACTTTGTACAAATGTCTCCTGCTTGGGTACCTCTGTCCCACTCGTGTTTCTGCATAACAATTGTGATTGCTATGGCCGTAAATTAACAGGATATGCACGCATAATATCATAGCTCTTAAGAATGGCAAAGCATTAGTGGTATCACATCACAGTATACTGTGATACCTGTGGTATTTTTTAATCCATTCTCAAAGCGCACGTGACACTTTTAACATTTACAGTTTTCCATTATCCATAGGGTTGTGGTAACTGTCATACAAACCATTCCCTTTGTACCATTACCCTTTTCATATAATATACATATATAGAATATCAGCTATTTTGTTTTTTTTTTTTATATGGTATAAATAAAAATCTATATTAAGCTCTTGTTAATGATTAATGACACAATGAACTAATATACCGGAGGTGATGATTGCTAATGATTAAATCAATTATTGCCTTCAATGATACGGATAGATAAAAAATAATTTTCTTTATTGATTGTTAACTGATAAAAACTATTCAATACAAAATATATTGACTAGTCATGACTTAGGTGTTAACGTTCGATGATTTTTCCGTCATTTGGTGAATATAGTTTTTATGGTGGTATAGTGGGTAGCATACTTTAATAATTATAATACTTTTGTATATTTGAGCAACCCGGATGGTTAATAAATAAAATATAGCCAAATTAAGTCAAGCGTGAGTAAAAACCACATAATATCATCATCATCATCATCTTATCAGCCGTTAACTATCCACTGATGAACTATATGGCAAAATCACCCTTATGGGTGGTTATACCCATAAGAATGGTTTTGCCAGTAGTTGCAACGCTTGACAGGAGGGTTGGCAACCGTATTTAGGCTTTTTTTTATGTTTTAAGAGGGACACTGATGCCAATTCGTCTATTATAATATTGTATAGTATTAATATATAATTACAAATGTATAGAAACTTTGCACATGTTAAAACTCGATATTTTTTTTATGTTAAAAAAAATACCTATATGTATATTTTGCTTTTTTTTTGTATATGCATTCTTTTATCTCTTTTTAATGTATTTAATATATTTGTTGTTATTTGTGTGCTGTAAGCAATGCAAATAAATTATCTATCTATCTAAATGCTAGTGAAATACGTATCAAAATCGGTTGCCTATAAACATGATCAGTAACATGAACATAACAGAGTATACTATGTCGCCCATGATATCCTTATATCGTCATAGTCGTAGAATACTGACGGATCTGACAAATATTACATATAAAGATCCGTCGGTATTCTACGACTATGACGACATGATGTATTGTGATACGTAATTTTTATATACTAAAATGTTATGTACCTATTTATTAGGTACACCGAAATCGTCTAATGTTTTAAACAAAAGCAATTTTGTTTTTAAACTAATTTTGATAGATTTAGCTGGACTTCCCTAAGGGCACAATTACCATACCGCAACGTGTGGGTTGGTGACCGCAATAATACTTCTTGTGTATTTATTACTAGTGACCCGCCCCGGCTTTGCACGGGTGCAATGTAGAAACAATGTAGAAACAATGTGGAATGATTAATAATATTATTATTGTATCCATTTACATAGCTTTACATAGTCCACATCATCATCTATCATCACAAAACAATCCAAAAAGAGGTTTCTTCAGGGTCAGTAACGCACGCGTAATACCTCTGGTATTGCAGGTGTTCATAGGCTACGGTAACCGCTTACTATCAGGTGGGTCGTATGCTTGTTTGCCACCTCAGTGGTATAGAAAAAAAAACACAACAAATCTTATCAAAAAATTTTATGTCATTGTAATAAAAATTTCATCGTGCCTCCGGTCAAACTGTTTATAACTAGGTACTCCTCTCCATCCAAAGGTCGCCTAGAAAAGAACGCTTTTAGCGATAAGGCCGTCTATTGTTTTCTCGGTGTAATTATTTCTTGTAAATGTTTGTATCTATTTATAATAAGTTTACTACTGTAATCATTATATATATAATTTTAGTTAATTATTACAAATTAGTATATATTTATATATTATAAATTATACATATATAATTGTGATTAAGTATATAATAGGTGAAAATGGAATGATAATCCCGCTTGCTCTATCAATCGCTATCAAACATCAGAAAAGATGATAGGTAAGTGTGAAAAGGAATCAGTTGACCCCTTGGTGACTATAGAAGACGGTAGAATGGCAAACAAGCTGACGGTCCACCTGATGGAAAGTGGTAACCGTCGCCTATAGACATGAGCAGTGCCATAGACATAACAGAGTATACTGTTTCGCCCATGAATCCCCCATGTATTGCCATTCCTGAGGACTCATGTGTTATTCCTCTGTACCCGGTAAATTCACGCCATATCCCACCCTTCAAACCGAAACACAGCCATGCAAACACAACTGCTTCACGGTTGAAACACGAATGGGACATATAGGCTATATTGATAACAATAGAATTATTAGACCCCATTACTTATAATCCCTTTTCCCCCATGATAATTATCATATTTTACCATTAAGTAATTACTCATTATTTTATTATGAATATAGTCATATTAAAATCACGATACTATACGGGGAAACGGAAATTGATAATTATAAATTTCGTACGTTTGTCACAGTTAAACTTCTAAACTCGGTAAACGTGATTTTTGCGTCATGCACGCAATACGCATGCGTGCATATTTCTTGCATTGTGGGAAGGTGGTGTAATTAAGTTTGTTTGTTTCATTTCATTCGTTTTTTGTATGCAATTTCCTGTATGTCTTTGATATGGTCATTTATTCATTTAGTGATTACAAAATTATTTCTATGTACTCACTCACCAGATGGAGTGACGACCTGAAATGCATTTTTTTAATGGGTGAAAATGTTATGGTAGCCTGCGCTAACGGGATACGCTGGCGGAGCACCAGTAAAGCTCTACAGTAAGGTGATCTTATTGCTGAAAGCAATAAGGCCGCCTTATTTATACATACATTATTACGTACTTATACAACAAATATCGCTACATTTATTGTCTGCTTTTTCCCAACATTGTATAATGCAAATATTATATTTTATATTATATTTCTTTATTAACCAATGTAACAGTTTTCGTCACACAATGACAAGTCAATATTTACATTATAATTTTGAAATTAATAAAATAAATAATAACAATAATAATAACATTTGAATTATAAAATAAAAATAACAATATAATGGTAACTATATACCAATAATGATGACTTCAAGTTATAAAATTGGAATTATCATACTTCTTACAGTTATTCATTCATTCATTAATTTCTGAAATCTCATTTTACAGAAATTTCTCAACAGATTTTGCCAAATCTATACTACAATTACATTTCATTATAATTATCACAATACTTCAATTGTAACAGTAGTTCACTTATGCAAACAATGGGGAGACGAATTGAGACGCGATTGCGTTGATATTTCATAACATACCTTTATAATTAGATACCTACTATCAGAGTAGAAAGTGATATACACACTGTATCACCGAAATCGAAAGTAAAAAAGCATCCTGTGTATAATATGTTTGTATTTATGCGTGCATTCTTATTAATCCTAGCATATAATTTGTTTTTGTTTTAAAGTTATACATATCGAAAGCTATTTATCTTGTATACACACTGTACCTGATTTTTTTTATGTACTCACC